AGCTATGCCACTGGCTTTCCTGGGCTTCTGACTTGCAAACAGCGTATCATGGAGTTCAGCCTCCTCCATAATTGTATGAACTAGTCCTTCATAATAAATCTTTCTCTATCATCTACTACCTGTCTCCTACAGATGGGGTTCTCTGGAGAACCCTAATACTGTGGACCATTGACTTACGAACTCAGTCGATTTAACAAGGGAGGGCTGGCTGTAACTCAAGTTGGTTTCAAGTCAATACAGCTGAGAACTGGATGTTTATCTGGTACATGCTATAGATAACAAAGCAAATGAATCTCCCATTAACCTAATTAACCCAAGTTGTTTTTACGTGAGGCCAGTCATAACTTTAGGGTCCACAATACAATGGAGTTCTTCAGGAATTCAGCCAGAGATCAACTTTAATGAACTTAATTCCTTATACCTTAATACTAGATTATCTTTCCATTGTGTTATGAATTAATTTTATCTCTACCTACAACGCAAACATTGTAAGGAGTAAGGACTCTGGTGTACTTTTTATCCCTTGATGGTGCTGGACCTGTGACAAGCACTCAGTCGCTCTTGGCTGACTCATTCATTCGTCACTTCCCCACATGCTTTCCTAAACTGGGGCTAAAGAGGATCATGAATTGCAAAAACATCTGTCTCAGCCAACAAAAAGTTTTCCAAGCAAACTGCCCAGCACTCTGGGAGCCTGAGACAAAATGACTTGAACTTTAGTCACTTTCCTAGATTATCCATGATCTCTCTGTTTTTCTTACCTGAATATCTGAGATCTGACTACAATGATGAACCCCTCAAGAATGGCAACCTAAGGCTAGAAATAATATCAGATATGACTAAAAACCTAAAAAATTTCTGTGAGGATTGCTCAAGTGCCGGGAGGCAGCCTGGGCCCCGATCCACCGCGGGAAGGAGAGCCACGCCAGCTCCCGACCCAGCCGCCATCGCTCAAGCTGGGAAGGTAGCTGCGCGGGCGCCCCTGAACACCCATAAGCCCCCCACACACTCTCAGACCTCCTGACTGTGCCAGTCTTTGGACCCACTCTGCAGAGGCAGAGGTGGTCATCAAGGGTATTTTTCTGAGTTCTCAACTTTGAACATATTTAAAGACAGGGAGTGGGAAACCTGTAATAGAACGTTGTGGAGTTCAACCATTCAGAAGGTTGGGGAACTCAATCTGGGCCTTGCAGCCCAAGGTCAGTCAGCATCATGGGGTTCAGCCATCAGCTAACTGAGACCAGGGGACTTGCATCCTCGCTCTGTCTGAGCCATTAAATGGTAAATACACTATATTTAATTTTGTTCACTGCAGACATGTTCTGGACTGCTTCTTGATTTCAATTTCATTCAAATGATTTAAGGGTGATAGATGAGTGACTACCACAGGTGGTCAGTGTCCAAGTTGTGCTTGATCTTAATGTGTTGCTGATTGTATCAGTTGGGGTAAAGCATTGCGGTTGATTTGATGAGCTGTTTTCTCTGATGTTATGAAGATGAGAATGTCTGTGGGTCGTTAGAGACACAGAAGCTAGGGCACAACCATATCAGGAAGATTTGGGTGATAATCCAGAGATTAAACCAAGGACAGTCCAACAACAAAAATAAAAATGAGAAAACACTTAAGCAAGACACAAGGACAGACTTCCAGTTTACCAATGGCAAACAGTACAGCAAATGAGGATGAAAAGGCCGATAGTGAACCACCAGGACACCCTGAACTCAAAGCACAGGAAGTAACAAAACAGATCAATCAGGTTCTAGAAAAATTCAGAACAGAAATAATTTCCCAGATAACCATAGAGATGGTGAGAAAAATGAAAATCATGATTCGAGACTGTAGAACAGAAACTGACAAAAAAATAGATGAGCTCAGGACCATGATAGAAGCC